TGAACTGAAATGGTGTATAACTAAGACTGCAATAATTGCTAAATTCAAAGAGAATTATTATCATCCCTATTATACTTAAATATAAACCTTAGATAAATCCTGATTGGCAAGTACAAAATAATAGCTTTCATGCATTTCTTCATTCTACATTATATAATTTGAAGAGTATTGGAAAGGTCTTAGGCCCCTAAACATAACCAAGACAAAAATCCTTGGTGTAGCAATGGGAATCTTGGACTTGTTGTCCTTGTTTTATTGATGTGTTGCTTCTACCTCACTAAAATTGGTATATTGCTATACATCAAACTTTCCTGTTGTCTTATGCAAGAACCAGAGCTACTAGTTAGTTATGGAGAAGAGAGACCCTTTTGTGGGTCTTTATTGCCAGCAAAAGCCAAAATGAACAGAGTATTTGGGGACTGGCATGAAGTGATTGTCAGAACTTCATCTTATTTTGTTATATTCGTGAAGGGGGAATATAAGTGGGTTTTGAGTTTTACCTACAATGGAAGTGCAGATTCTGCCCTGGGCAAGCACTGGTTTCTTGATCCTTGGAAATCACATGAACTGGAAGGAATTTCAGATATATTTTTGATTTAAGAAGTCTCTGTATTTATTTGGCATTGTATTATGTCACAAGTTCCCAAACATGTTTCTTCCATTGGTGTCTGTGGTTAACAGAAATCCCCAGGAGGTTTCCACAGATATTTAGAATGCCTTAAGCTGAAAGTATTTAAAATCAAAACAATTTTCATGCCTAAAAAGAACTGAATTAATTATGGCTTACGGCAACTTGGGCCTCTGTGTATGGTGAGGGAGGGAGAGGAAAGATATCCTTCATGCCTGCAACGAAGGGATGCGATATTTCCATCTTGTAGTGTTTGGTGTTGATTATATTCCTTTTGCAAAGTTCATTTAGTCATGGGTATTTTCATGCTGCCAAATGCTGGCTGTGTGGGATCTTTGGAAGAATCAAACAGGAGAAAGACAGGACAAAATAAAATATTTACTACTTCTTGGGGTAGGGGGTGAGCATTTCATTTTCTGTTTGCAGTCCTTCTCTTCCTAGTCATGACTCTCTAAGCAGTTATTTCCATTTTCTTTTCTGCAATCTCTTTAATTTTTCATTTTGATAGTCCAGTGTTCTGAAATGGGAAAAGTGAAGGCTGCAATTCTTCCTGAGCTTCTCCAAATGTTAAGACAATGCTACAAGTACAAAGTGCCAGGAAGTACAATGAAAAATGCCTGCACTGCCGAATGCTGGGTTTGGTCAAAGTGTTCCTGAGGGATCCTGAGGAAGGCCATAACCCTCCCCATAGTGAAATGGAATCTGGATGGCAAATACAAAGGGGCAGAAAGCACATCAGCAAGCAAACTGTCCAGGTTTCTGTCTATCCCTCCTATAGTCTGAAAGCAACAGACCTCTCCAAGGTATCACCCTTAAAAGACCATGTTGCTCAGGGCCTCTGATGTTCAGGCTTCTGTGAAGTTGTTGCTATTTTATTTAGGCTTGAAGATTTTAATCAAGTAGTTATACCAGCAGTCTTTTGTGCCAGATAGCCATTAGTAAAAAGATGGAAAATATGGAAAGGAAGGGTGACCAAAATAACTGGTTACACCACCTGCAGATTAAACTAACTTGAGCACATTTTTTCCAGAGTATCTCACTGGTAGTTTGTTATTTAGGTTGCTGAAGTATGCTGCCCCTGAGTAAACATCCTAAAATTCTGTTAATTAAAAAGAACCTCTGTATTCATTAATGTTGTAGGCATTTATAAACATTATTCCAGCTTAATCATAGCTGCTGCCCTTTGACTTCATGAGTGGAGTGAGGGAGAGAATATGCAACTGATATTTCATCTTGAAAACTGCAGGCTTTTCTTTTGACTTCATCTCATAAACACTAAGTTGGAACTGGATATACTTAAGATGAAGGCAGTAAGGACAGTTGTGAGTGTGGAACATCTTTAGTCTGAGAAAAGACTAGGATAGGAATTTTCTTACTGGAACAAGTTGTACGAAATGTATGTTGGAAAACCTCAATATGAGGAAAGGTGAACAGGATTTTTTTTTCATTTTAATGAGGAAGACCCTAAATTATCTCAATAAGATGATGAGATATATTTTTCAAAGAAACAAGAGGAATTTTGTTTTTCAGGCTGCAAGTAATTAAATATGTGGAACTCATGGCATAGGGCCTATGGGCATTGAGAAAAGCATAAAGGAATCAAAAAAGGAGCTAGACAAAGTCAAGAGGTACAGGTCTGTCACTCTCTAATCAAACTTAATAGCTGTGACATAGAATCTGTAGTTAAGAATTTCAAAGCCTTTCACAAGCAGCAGTTGATAAATGGAAAGCTCCACTAACACTTTATTATCATTCTTGTGCTTTTCTCATAAGCATCCCAGATTGACCACTACCGAGGGTGTGATGCCAGACAAGACCAATATTTGGTCTGTCATGATATACAAGTTCTTCTGTGCTTGGAAAGTATGAAATAGTCTCATACTCACGACTGGTGTAAGCTGTCATGGAGGACCTTGGAGGGTGTAAGAGACCCTGACAAGGACAAGGACTGGTTTGATGTCAGGGACATTTAACTAAAATGGTGTCTTGTAGCTCTCAGAGGAATTTTTGTTGTAATAGTTACAGACACAAAGGTAGACTTTAGATTGCTTACTTTTCTCTCTGTTTCCAGTACTGCACGTTCAAAGCATGAAGTAGAATTACAAATCAGTTCCTTTACATCTCTAAAACACGATGTTGACTTAAAAATCATGATGCTTGAAAGAAAAATAAATGTTGGGTTTCTTTTATTTGTCTTTCTGAGGTTTCACCCTATGAAGTTTGTATAATCTTTCTTGAAACTATATCTTTTCTCTGGAGGCATTTCAACTCTGCAAAACTGAAATACTTATGAAGCTAGAAATGAGGACATTAAAAACCCACTAAATTTCATAAGTGACACTTTTTCTATGTTTCCCTGAAGGTCTGCCTGCTCACTTCTAATAGAATCCTAAATGGATTTAATAATTTACCTTTTGTAAAATAACCCAGAAAACCATTAGCAGAGTGGAAGTCTGGGCGCCTCTGGCATTAGACTGAACCAAGCATGCCCATGACCAGCAGCTCTTGTGGTTTTCTTTATGTTCCTGTATTGGATGGTCCTTCCTTCTCCTGCCATATCACTTGAGCTGCTGCTCAAGCCATACCTGATGCTGTTGCTGCTGCTGGAGGCACGTGTCAGAGCTGGCAGAAAGCTGACAGAGACTTTTAAGCTACTGAATTTGCATAATGGTACTTAAGGAGGGTGGGGCTGGTAGTTTTTCTGTTTAAAGTCATCTTATTGTCTGGACATCAAAAGTTTGAAACTTTGAAATTTTTCTGATTCTTCAAGGTGCCAGTATGGTGCTAGTTTCGGGGGAGTGTTACAGAGGCGTTCAAAATGAACACAAGTGTCTGCCAGCCTTATTTTGGTAACAGTTGGGAGAGAAATAGAAGAAATGGTGTTTTAATTATTAGCAATGAGAATGGTGATTAAAAATGTCTTGATGGAGAAATTTAACACAAGAAGCTGCAGCTTAGTGACTCTACATGATAGATGCTGACCCAATTTTTGGCAACTTAGAGCCATAAACATCATCCTTGATGTATCAGACTCAGCATCTGGTAAGCTGTCTTATGACTTTTAAAAATTAATGCACAGAGGGATGAAAAACTACTGTACATCAGCATGTGTTTGTTTTCTGTCTAAATGCAAATGTTACATCCTCTAACAAGTCCATAAATATATTGTAGAACTTACAAATAAAATAAAAGATTTTTTTATAGTTGATGTGGTGGTGGTGGAATCCAAATCTTTCCTGTTTGTGATGTTACATGCTGCTTGTTTAAAAAAATCTCTGAACACATATTAGTTGTTCATGGTTGTCTCCATCAGTCAAAATATCATTCTTTATTCAGATGAATAAGCAAGGCTTCAGATTTATTAATATCATCTTTTTAATGTTGTGCTGAAAAGGGCATCGTATCTGTGGTTGCAAATGTGATAACTTCAGGGAATTTGTGACCATCACTGCTTTGTCATTCCAAAGACATTGATTTTTTTATTTGTATAAATCTACAGCACAAGGTTTGTGGCTCATTGATTTGAGTACTGCATGCTTATATGGAAGCAACTAAATGCCAAACTGGAGATGAATTCAAGCTTTTGGGCATACTTAAGTAAGCACTGGGCATCTCAAGACTGAGCAGTCTGAATGTCAGGAATCTTTCTTGGAGCACCCTTTTGAAAATACAAAATTTTCCACAGAAAGTCTTGTGTTTACTGATCCCTCTTCAGCATTCTAAAATACAGACATCTGTAGATGTAGGTAGCTCTATCATTTCTGTGGCAGCAACACCTATTAAATGAAAAGTCGACTAAAATCTGTTGTTTTGAAAACGTGTACTTCTGAATGTCCCCTTTCTCTTTCCTTCTCTCTCCACCCCCTGCCCCCACCTCTCTGGATTTGGGAGATCCTAAGGACAGACAGTGTGAAAATATAAAATGCATAGCTGCTCTGTGCAGCAAAAAGATTGCTGCTACTGCTAAGAATTTGTTCTTCCTGTTTGCTACTTAAAAAAAAAAAAAAATAAGGCAAGCGTGCAGGATTTTTCCCATGCAGTAATTCAGGAATGCTGCAAGTGATTAGTGTGTCGAAGCTTGCATTTCAGTTTAAAATATGAAAAAAAGCCTTAAGAAAATGCAGTCAAAAGTCCTGAGCACTGGCACACTGTAAAGCAGGAAATCTCCTGCACACAATAGAGATTAAATGCTCCCTGTGCATACTGTATTCTGCTCAGCCCTCTGCGTTCGGAGCTGGGACCGTGGCAGTCGTTATCTCTAGCAGGTTCCTTGGTGATTTTCAAGCCCTGCACTACCTACCCAAGTGGCAGTGACACCAGCTTTCACTGAAGCCTTATTACTCTTAAAAGAGCAATTTGGTTGGTTGCACAGCTATTAGGATCAGACAGACAGGCTTAAAGCTGTCAGTACAACTGCTTCTCATCTTTTTTCACAATCCTGACATCTTTTCTCTTTTCTGCTGGACACAAGCATTACTGTTTTTATCATTTTCAATCAAGCTCACGCTGCAAGCTGAGGAATATATTCCCACAGAAACCAAAGTGAGGAGCAGAAATTATTTTATAGCTACTGTAGTAGCAGCGGTGCTGGCTGCATGTTGTGTGGGAAAAACCGGATCAGTGAGAAATGTGGCTTTCCTCAGGGCTACATCACTGAGATATTACTTCAACGTCTGAGGAGAGCAAATCTACTCCTTGCTCTAATTTTTCAGTGATTAATCACTCCTTCTTGAGCAAACAGAAAGTGGGAGAGAAGATGTAAGATTTTTTTTTTTTTAAATTTTCTTTTTATATATTTTTTTAAAATAACTTGTGGAAATGTTATCATCAGTGAAAAGGGGGAAAATCACTATGCTTGAACTTCTTTTCATTTTGATGTTGCTCTTCTCTGGACCAACCCTGAGCAAGCTTAGCAGGACCAAAGGCAAACACTGGAAGGGGGGTAAGTGGAAAGGAAAAGTTTTTGTAATGGATGTCTGGGTAAGATTCTAAAAAAGCTGTATTAGAGGTAAGCTAAGGAGAATACCTGTGCTGTTTGGAGTGACTCAGATTTCAGGTTGCTGTGTGGGCTTGCTATAGGATGCTAAAAAGAGAGCATGGAGTTTAATTTGTTTTCTTGTTAGTTTGCTTGACTGACTCTGTAAGGCACATATTCCTTGCAGGAATTTAACTTTGCCTTGCATCATTAGCAGGATAATGTTTAAGGCCTTTGTACAAATAAATGTATGATATTTAGAAACCAGGGTTTTTTCAGATTGTGAGAATTCAGATTGTTCTTTTCATTACGGAGCCTCTGGGACGCTTGTGGCTTTATTGGAAGGGCTGTTACCCCAATCATAGGGGGTTAAATGTTGGAGAAAGAGAGAGAAAGCAAGCAACCTGTCTTGAGTCCAGAATTGTTAGTGTATATGGTAAAAATGACTAGACAGACATTTTTTTTTAGAGTACGTGAATGTTGTGAAATGCACTGCCAGCAGCACTAATTGGCTGACTGGCTATGTCAGTGTTGATGTGTTAATAAAGATAAATTGCATTAACTTTATAAAAAAAAAATGCTGTGTTGAGAAAACACTTATGATTTTTGAAGGCAGCAATCCATTTTCCTCTTCTGTTAAAAACTGCTGAGAAGATTTACCCTGTGTGTGCTGTGAACAGTTCACTAAATGTGCCTTTTCATAAAGTTCACTTTGTTTTGCTTCCTTGCATGACATTTGTTTATGGAAAACATGGGTTATTGAGGTCTCATAATCAAATATAGCCCAGTGAGCATAAATGGTATCTCATGAATATTGGGACTGAAGGACTGTGGACTGTAGATAGCTTGATGTTTTCTCCCTGGTTGTTTGTTGATGTTGCTGATTGGAGGCACCCCCAGGATTTTTTTTCCCTTTTTTTTTTTTCTTTTTTTCCCCTTACAAGTGTTGCCACAGCATGGTGTGTTTATCACAGCTTTAATAGCACTTCCAGTTTCTCTCTGCTGTCAGTATTGTGATCTGAGGTTAAAGAGTAGCATCAACATTAAAAAGAAGTTTTAATAATTTATCACAACATCTCAGCAGGAGACTCCTCCCTCCCCCTCCTTCCCCCCCGTATTTCCTTTTGTTGCAGTTAATCTTCCAGCTACTGTACCTTCAAGGGAAAAAGTTGCAGCACACGTTTAACCTGGACTGTTGATGCAGCACAGTATATCTGAAAATTATTTCCTGATCCTGTAAATCACATTATCACATGTATCTCACAGTGCTGCTGCTGGGTATCCTCGTTGCAAATTACAGACTGTTATTTACTCTGGGCAGGATGACCTCCTCTCAGAGGTATGTGGGTTAGGAATATATGTCACTGTCAGGTTCCTGGGATTTAAAAAATGCTGTTAACTTTTTTTCCCCTTTTTCCCATTTTCAATTAAATCTGGTAAACGAGGGCTGTATTGCTTTGGTCTCTTACCTACTCCCTGACAGAGGTAAAGAGCTGCACTTAGGAATTTTTATCATGGGCAGAAAATAATCCATGACTCTGACTGCAGAAAAAAATATCTTAATACAGGTTTTTACTTTTCTTGGAAGTGTTTCTTGCAGCTGAAACAAACTGTAAGGGAGATACCTGTTTCAAGGAGGCTAAGAAGCAATTTGTCTTGTTTACTCGAAGCTCTGAATCAGCAAAAAACTAGACAGAGCTGCTGTGCAGTAGTTTGCTTCCTAGGTAGATATTACAGTGAGAGCTGTGTGACTTAAAGATGATGCCTGGTTACTGGTGAAAGTTTCAAGTTCAGGATCTGTCAGAAGACAGGTGTTATAATGTCTGAGTGTTTCTGACCTCCAAAACGTAATGTATGCACCTCCCCTTTCCATTAACCATTAAGGATCAGCTTTTGCTTATGTATCAGTGATGTGAGTTTTTTATTGGTGTGCACACGGAATTCCTGTTGTCTCTTGGTGAAATTTCGGAATGCAAACTTTTTTACTGCAGCTCACTGGAAAGCCCATCCCAAAATGGAAACAGACTTTATTTTATTTTTTTTTAATTATTTTCATTTTTAAGAGATTGAGGAGAGCCAGAGACCTGCATACCAACTTCCAGCTGTATTGTTCAGAGGGGAAGGGTGAAGATGGATAAATGCAGCTGGAAATGCACTGTATGACTCATAGTACTACCTGTGCTGAAGTCAGTGTCCGTAGTGGACAGTAATAGCTGATTTAGACCGTCCTCTAAAGTTTTTATGTACCATATTTTGTTCCAAGAGTGCTGCAAAAAACAGGCGTCTTTGGAAAGTGTTGCTCTTCTGTGACTGGGTTGGCCCTGATCATGATCAGTACAAGTGCAGGCTAATGAATCTGGAAATTTTTCTGGTATAATTAATGAAAAATGTCACTGCTGAAGTTACAAGCCCTGAGAAGATATTTTCTGTGGTCTTGCTGTGTAGTTCTCCATTTATGACAAACTCACCTCTATCCGCCTGTATTTTTCTCCTTGGAATTCACTCAAACAGAAAAAAAAGAATCTATCCACATACAACTACATGAAAATGGAATTATGGGTAGAAACCACCTCCTGATTTAGTTTCAGTGTCTGGTGTCAGGGAGTAAAATGAGTCCTATATGTGGGCCTGAAGAAACGTAAAGATACTATTTTCTTCTCTAGGTGTTTTTAAGTCTGCACTTCAGAAAACCTTTCAGAATAATTCATTGGAATGCAGTCTCTACAAGTGCTTTAAACCAGGATTTATAAACTAATGATCAAGATAAACTGGAGTCTGAAATCAGAACCTGAAAGTACAAATCAACTGCATTTTCTTTTTCCCTTTGAGCCAAAATAACATACTGTGGTTCAAGTTTATAAGAAGGATTTATAATATGGAAACAAAAAAAAAATAGAAAAAGGAGATTAAGTACTGTTTTGAGTTTACCTTAAATCAGAAAGTAGATTTCAAGCACTGCTAATGCCTATCCCCTTCTGAATTTGTTTCCACAGTGTTTTAACTCTGTCATACATCATAGTGAGGGGGGAAAAAGTGAGTTTTGAGTTCATCCAGCTGTATGCATGTGGATGTGCTTTCTGTCTGTCCAATGGCACCTGGAAGCATCTGTAGATTGGGAATAAGCCATCCATTTGTGTTGTGCTTGGAACCCTCCCAACACTTCACCCATACCAGCAACAAAGTAGTAGTAAATCCTGACTAAGGAAAACTGGGGCAGTGATGGGAATTCACAGATCTCCTGGCAACAGCAAACGTCTCCTGGGTGTGTTCATAGTGTGTCATGCTGGATAAGCAGCACAAGCCAAAATGAGTGGGAGAAAGTGGTTGTGTCCACACTCACTGCAGGGACCACAGCCTGGTTGAGGGGCTGGCAAGGGCAGCACTCATCCTGTGCTGTGTGTGGTGGGTGCTATCTCACCTGGCAAACAGCAGAATGCATGGGGAGAACAAAATCACACGTGATGCTTGTCTGCTGGTAGATGTCAGTGTGTTTTATAACTTTGTGGAGGGCTGTGTGACAGAAAGGACTCAGAGAAAGAGTGAGAGCACTAGGACAACCCCTCTTGGAGGACATAAACCCTACACTCACCTTGGAAACAACTCCCGTGTTCCATCTGGGGCATAACTGTGCCCACTCAGACTGTTGGGCACCTTTGAAGAGCCTCACTCTTTACATGGTGGTCTCCATATAACAGCCCATCTTCCAGCTGGAATGACTGAGACACTTTGGGATGGTCCTTGGGTATGAGGTGAACCCCAATAGGGGAGCACAGGGAGACCCTGCACATCCCAGGGTACCATGGCATAAGAACACAATCTGACAGCAATGATGGCAACACCCCCCAAGGGCAGAAAAGACCTTGATGAGTGGGGAGAGGAATTTGAGATGAAAAGACTTCAGAGGGAAGGGTCCCGAGCTGGAACTGGGAAGTGCAGGTTAGGTATGCTTTCTCCCCAGAGGCTTGTTTGCTCATTTCTACCTCGTGCTTCTCCAAAAGAATTTCCATTTTCAGAACTTATAGTGTGATTTGATTTACTTGTGATAAAATTGGAGAAATAAAAATAAAATGCAACCACAGGGCATCAACCCAAAGAACTAGATGAGGGTGGTGACTGTCCTTACGGTCTACACAGAAGTGAAGCAATAATCTCTTTAATGACTAAATCAAAGTTTATTATGCAAGTGATCCAGCCTTATATTTCAGTTCCAATTTCAGCTCTATGGCAGTTTAATCATTTTTATGGCAAAAGGTACCAGTGTGAGAAATCTTAAGTGTTACTGGCTAGGCATTACTGGTGAGGGTGATACAAAGCTCTGTGTGTGAGATTGTCTCCCTATAGATTGAACAGCACATGTATTATTTAAGATGCATGTAATCCATCAACATTAGTTTAAATGTTTTTAAAAGCATAAGTCAAAGGTTAACCAAGAAGAGAGAATTTCTATAAAGCTGCTTCCATACAGAAAGTAGATACCCCTCAGATCTTCCAAATTTGGAGGTAAAGTATTAGATTATTAGAATAATGGCTAGAGTATTAGAGTTGGAGGGCTGTTACCAGGCTGCTGCTGGGTGCCTGGTAGCTCTGGACACCCAGATATCTCAAGTACGTGGATCTTTGTATGCAGAACAACTCTGTGGTGCATACACACTGAGTTTGGTGAAAACAGGGCCTTGAGACTTTGTGCATTTTTTAATGGAGTGCCTCTGCACAGTCACAAAGTCCCACACATCACAAGCACCGTGAATTGTTAGAGACATTTCAATGTCTTCTTGGCAGCCTCTCAGCAATCCTGTTCACTTCCCCCATGGGGAAGCTTACAGAGCTTTTATTTTTTTTTTTCATCGGGAGGTACTTGTTCTCATTTCTCTCACATCTGCAGGGTTGTGAGGATAAAGGGATGGAGGCTGGGACCTTTGAAGAAGGAAAAGTAGAAAGGAGGCATTCTTGTGGACTCAGGTAGCCTG